AACTAGTACACAACTACAAACATTTTATTTAGGCCTATCTATGGCCTTCAAAAAGTTGACGACTCTACATGTTTCGACGTTGCAAATGATGCAGTCTGGTACATTTTCTGGACGAATGTGATGCTGAATCTGACTTTCATTCAGTCGGTCAGTCAATTACAATGCATTATAGAAAGCTGCTAATTTGATCAAAACGTGAAATTTCTTAAACTAATACGTGAGAGCATGAAAATAGGTCCATATGCATGAGTGTTGGTATCTCTGAAATAGTGTATAACTACAGCCATTAGGCTGAGCATCATCAATGATGTAGAATGAAGTTCGAAGGGCAGTGCGAGACTTGAAGCATCGTTCTTTAAAACACCAGAATTAAGATAAATTTACTTGTATTAACTTTACATAAAATACGACTGCAATGTTTTAAAAGTGAACGACCTCATGCAAGTATTTGTTATCCTCCAAAAACATTAAGATCGTCGGTTAACGTCTGTGTTTTTAAAATTGATTTATTGAACACGAAAACCCAAGTTGGCACTTTACATATGCTTTTACTTTAATATCATATGCGTAATCAAGAATGGGGCTTCCAAAAATACAGAAACGGGGGTTTAAAAAAATGTGTAACAACCATATGAATACTTCCTGAATTGCTGGTCTGAATCTTTATATTTTGTGTTGACGAAAAAAAAAATTGTAACGCCCAGATTTATTATTATTATTTCTGGAAACCATATTTATGTTAAAAATACATCGTGCTAAAATGAATATTCTTACGATTATAACTCTTAAAAATTTATCTTAACATCATATATTATTCTGTAAATTAACTGACTTAGAACAGCCACTACATAAAAAAAAAAATTGCAGCACACCAAGAATTAGTTACAAAATCTTCACTCAGCAGATGTTTTAAATGTTATAAATAAATAAATTTTATTTTTCACTTTCACTGGTTGAAACGTGTGCCAAATGTCTGTCCCATATTACTTTTCCTCTCACAAATTGTAGAAGGCAGGTGTTTTCCAGACATACTTTACAACATCAAGTCTTTCCAAAAAAAAAATAATAATAATAATATACTTTAAAATTAATGTTAACCTTCGTAAATTAATATAAATTGTAATGTTCTTAAAATATTTCTGTGCAGGTTTGTTTCGACTGACTAAACTGCCAAACTCACTCTATAATTCTAATTTTTCAGGATAGTACTTTTCAAATTATCTCTTATATTTTACTATTTCTTTCTTATAGTATTACACAATTATTAAATGCTTCGAAACGGTACAACATTTGAAATGTTTAGGAAGACAGTTTTGTTGCAACATCTTTAGAAATTATATAAAATTGTTTTTTGTATCAAGCAAAGAATATCACATAGAATACGATTTACTGAATTAGACTAACAAAATACAGTCCGCCACAAGTAAAAAGAGGTCATATTTAGTTCTTATTGTTTTTTCAGACTTGGAGAGGAAGTATCAGTGTCTTCAATTTTTCTGTGGTCATTTAGTGTTTGTTTTAAATTTTACTGGGATTGTTTCATACAAGTAAGTATGTACGAATTTTTAGAATTTTTTGTAAAATCAAACTCTCCGAATATGGATTACAAAAAAAAACTACTAGAATAAACAATGTTATACTACAGTCTTATTTAAATTATGTTTTTGGGCAATTACTAAATATAGTTACAAGCTTTCTTGTGTAAAACATAGAAACAGTATTTGATGTACTAGTAATTATTTTTATGTGGTAAACTGAAAACACTTATTTCAGATAATTTAAAAGTTTAAATAAGTATTGTATACATGAGTAAAATCTGATAACTTGAGGCGAAGCATGAATAGAATAAAACTCGAAGAATACAAAGCTAACAAATTCCTTGTAGCTGAAGTAAGTTAAGCAATTTTCCTGACAACTTTTTTTTTTTTGGTTTGTTGTTAAATGAAGCTACTTCGATATACCCAATTGGATTTTCCGACTAGGTCTTTTGGCAAAACTCAAATGTTTTCATATATCAAATTTTGTTTTCAGTTTACCCATTTCGTTACTAAAATATTGAATTTTTTTTTCAACTTCGTACATTTTAAATGTATTGTTAGATGAAAAGAAATCGTTTTAAAACTGTTTCAATTTTTATTTTATTAATATATTTTCAGATTACACCTAATAATGGATAAGCCAAAAGCCTAATATATATATATATATACAGATGTTTTAAATGTACAAATATGATCTTCACTTTATGTCTGAGGCTGACATTACATCAGGTAGTATATATTTTATGTATTTATTAAAATATTTAATAAACTCATAAAACAAAGATGTTAATTTAAACGACACGAAGATCCAATGATTTGTTTTAGGTTTTGGTTAAACAGACGCCTGAAAATAAGGACAAGTTTGTGGCCACAGGTTC